CAGGGAGCTTAGGGTATGAGATCGAACTGGACATTACCGAAAGTGGGTCAGAACAACACCAAGCTTCATAACTTACCGGCTGTCTTGACGGCTACAGAGCTGGAGATCAAGCGCATCTCTGAACAATCGATTGTTCTTGTTCATTACAATATCACCTCGGTATGTTCTGTTTCGTAGCTTCTCCGAATAAGAAAGGTTATCCGTGGCGTAATATGCTTCTCATACTGTTTTACTGGTCGTTGAAAGAAAGTGTATTGAATGAGCTTATATCGTTGTTAACAACCAGAGAACATCTGAAAGTTCTTTTGTTCCAAATACCTGTTAAAACTCAGCAATTTGATTAATTGTGGGTTTTGACCATCCACTTAGATGTGACCCTACTGTTTACCTCCCTAAATGCACTTTGCCAAAAACCAGAGAACATCTGAAAGTTCTTTTGTTCCAAATACCTGCTAAAACCCAGCAATTTGATTAATTGTGAGTTTTGACCATCCACTTAGATGTGACCCTGCTGTTTACCTCCCTAAATGCACTTTACCAAAAGTTCTGATCTTGTTGGTTCGCGCAGGAAAGATAGAGAGAACTGCGAAATTGTTAAACATTCTTTAAACAAGGACACTTGAAAAGAACTCCACGAAAAGTTAAGGAGGTTCGAAGCAATTTGTTTCATCTAGTTAGTATGTCCACACAGTATACATACGCTGACGAATCGAGCAGAACGACGGGTCACCCTCCGCATTTTTTCTGACAACCTGGTGTCCGTTCGGTAACGCATATGTGGATCGAAGGAGGTGTTGTATCTCTTCACCTTCCCTGATGCTACTGGGTTTTAGTCAGAAGACAAAAAGGCGTCCAGAAGGAACTTTCCATTAACGCAATTACAAACTTCTATATATATGATTCACTTGTCACCGTATTTGACGGTCGATCCGCTGTCAACCAACCAGTGTGTCTCCCACACACCCACACTGGTCCTCGGGCGGTTGTTCCTTTGTCTCGGTTGATCGTAGATGGCCGTCTGTGCGCTTGTGTACGAGATGCCTTGGCCATGGAGTGGGTGTGAACTTTCTGTATCCCTTTTTGACCTTTCTCCGGCACATGATGAAATCGGACGTGATTCAGACGTGTGGGCATAATCGCACGACCCTGTTCCACATGATTTTTCCGCTGCGCAGTAGGTTGATGCGCAGCCGTATTAGAAGGGCCTCAGTTTTAGTCAATAGAGCGCAAGCGTTTGTATGAGGATTCGTGCACCGACCGAAAGGGTGACCCTATGCAAGTTTGTTTTTGGGGAAGTAGACCCAGATGCGTGCGCCCACCCTTGCGATATTCAGTGTTCAGAACTAACCTCACCCGTTCCCCTATCTTCTTTATACCAGGCTGCAGAGTTGTCAGGTGGGTTTTCACCTCTTTGAGACTAAACCATGCTCAGCGTTCTCCCTTCCGTCGTGCTTCAGCAGTAAAATTCAGTGTCTGTGGAGTGAAGGTATTTGGGAATTTTCAGTTAGGAGTATCTACTTTGAGTAAAGCAAACCGGTACTGTACAGTGCTTCTGGACTTTTCAGTGTAGATTGGCCTCATCATTCTATACGTATCTCGAAAGGGAAGGGATTTCACGGAACTAGTGAGACATCCGTCCGAGAAGTCACTATTCGAGGAGCGACCCAACAAGTGAAAAGGTGGTGCGGATTACTTGATTGAGGGATGGGTGGCTCTACTTCCCTACACATAAATGCACCGTTGATCAGCCGGGCGTGGCCGCGGGTTTGAAACTTCTTGGAGTTTTGTAAGATGCGTATTGCTGACAATTCCGAATACAAATGAAGTATCTGCACGGCAATTTTTGGCTTTTCAGCATTGACTGGCTTCATTTATGGGACGAAATCTCCTCAAAAAACCGAACGTCCTCCGCACACTACTAGCAATCTGTAAGTAGCTCGGTGGAAGGATAAACTTCACCCCATGAGTGAGGCTTCCATCTGAGAAGTCGTTGTTCGAGGAGCTAGTCAACACGTCTAACCACGTGACGTGGATCCCGTGATTGAGTGATGAGCGGCGCTATATCCTAAGTGCGAGTTAACTACACTGTCGATCAGCCAATCGTGGCCGAACGGTTAGTTATTCAAACTACTAGCTACGAGGTCACGGATTCGAGACTTCGGAGTTTCACAAGATGCGTACTGCTGACGATTCTGAATACAGATGAAATGTCTGTACAGTGAATTTCGGCGTTGACTGACTTCATTTATTGAACGAAATGCCAAATGACGAATGAATACAACACGCAAGTCTGGAACATGACACCATGAATGACTGGATAGGTCCTTACGCAGTGCTTTTAGGCAGAGTACCTCGATCAACGCAGTGGATTGTCAGCATCAGTAACGATTAATTGGAAAAGACCGGAGAAGGATCCTACGTTAGATCACTTGGTGTGAAAGAAGCAACAAACAGATGTAAACTCTAAGTATGTGTATTATCGCCTATGATAGAAATAAAAAACATATCTTACCTATGGGTGAGTCGATGTTCATCAAACTGCGAAACCCATCTTCTCTGTCCAAATGGGAATTGTGCCGGCGCTCCACCGCGCTCACTCCAGAGGTTTCAACGTGCCCACACCCCCACCTCGGTCGCATTACACATGTTGATCTTTCGAGCTAACCGTTTCTGGGCGAATTCACGTGTGAAATCTCTTTTGTATGGCTGGCTGCAATAACGACTGGTTGAGTGTCATGAGTATGGTAGAGTGACCACGGATGTTTGTGATGGCTGCTATAGTTGCGCTCGACCCTGGCTGATGTCCTTGTGTCGTCCAACCTTCCACCATCACCCCCCGTCACAGATAGTCATCTTATTGAACGGGTTTATGGTGACTGAATGATTCATTACGGCACCAGATTACACTGGTCTTTTCCGACAGGTTTTTCATTCAGAATAATCCAACATGCCAAGCAGCCGATCTATTCAGATTGTAAGACCTCTCGTCTAGAGGCATTCATGGATCACTACAGAGAACCTGGTATCTAGTGTAACGGTGATACTACTGATGGGGAGGCATGCAAGTAGTAGGTGTTGTTCATGTAAATTCGCCTTGCCTCTCTTGAAAAGGGGAGATCTGTTGCGGAATTTGTGGAGTCGCTTTGTAGCCTTTGCTTGGATTTGAGCAATGAATGATTTGTGTCAATGAATATCCAGGAAAGTTCAAGAAGACGCGTTCAGGAGAAGATGGATGTCCAGTTTTCGTAAATAAGATGCCAATGAGAGTTTTGCTTCCATGTCCAATAGTCTCTAACCGGTTAGTTGGCATTTTCTGACAACTAGCTCCGCAGCGAAGGTCTTCTTCCTTTCACTAGTAGACTTTGGAAACTTGGGACTTCTGGTAGTACATCTGTGGTCGCGTCCCGATAAGCTTAGTCACACGAAGTTATTTTTGTAGGCGATCAGCCTGGTCTACAAGTTCTTAAAACCGTCAACAGCTTTGAACGGTGAGTGAATGTGGACTTAGCTGAGATGGCTTGGAGATCCTAGTTCGATTACTTTCGACCGTTGCCCTTGAAGAAGAAACATTGCTCACATAGGGAAATTTATTCTATTCTCCGTCGAAGTTGGTTAGAGCGGGAGAGTATTGTGATACGGTTATACACTCTGACTACATAGACTGGACTATACAGGTCTCCTCAAATACTTTGTCAAACATGATAAAAGATGGATACGGTTTTCTTACGGGATGAGGATTAACTATGTGTCTTCTCGAGTACTACTCATAAGGTTGTCTTATTTACTAAAGCCATGTACTGTCCATTTATTCAGTGAAAGATTTGTTAGTACTCTAATTGTGATGTAATTAAGTTGCTTATCAAAAGGTAGCAACCACTAACAAATGTCTGTCTTACTAGAATGTGATGAATACAACAGTTAGGTGCGATTGATAAAAATAGATACAATGCGAAAAGTGGAATAAGCCAAAAAGTGACTCATCGTCTGAGGACACTTGTTGAGAGTTCTTGAGTGAAGTTCCGGACGCGGGACGTGTCTTTTCTGCAGTATAGCTGCTACACGTGTTCCCTAGTTGTCCGTGGACTTGTGGAGATCTGTTGGCTTCCTCTCCTGTACGCGCGAGTGTGTGTGTGTGTTGTGCAACCT